TGTCCCCGTGCAAAGGTGTTACTTGAAAGGACACAAAACATCCACGAAATATATCTTTAAATTATCTTGTATTTTTTATTTAACAAATTTCCCATGTGTGGGACTAATAAAGGGTTATCTTATCTTCGTATATTTGTAAACCCTTACAGATTTTTTTCTCTTTCCATCTAACTTTGCCATTTGCCCATTTGTTCAGTTTCTGCTCTCTCACTCTCTCTTGCTCTTTAAAAGACAAAGGCCCCCAGATGGCAGGTAGAAGGAAAAGCAGGAGTTTGGTGGTGAGAGCAGGGACTTTAATGTAGGGACTGTGTAAAGGGAGAGAGGTGGTTCATATGATGGAGAGAAAGTAGATATATATGTGCAGCAAACCAAATGGAAAGGAAGCAAGACACCGGAGGTGGATTCAAGCTCTTCCAGAATGATGTAGAAGAGAGGAGAGATAGAGTAGGGGTAATAAAACTGGAAAACTAGAATGGAAAATGTTATATCCCATTTATACACCAATCAAAACGTATACATCTCAGTTGTCCCTGATCCTCACAGTGATTGGCTGATTTAGAGGTGAACACTTACTTCATCCTCTTTGCTTTGTGTTGTTTCCTCTTTCAGACCAGAAAAACATAACATCTAAGTCTGGACAGAGCGTCACTCTGCCATGTCGAGCTCCAAACAAGGACATCCACATCATTGTTTTAGAGTGGAGCAGAGCTGACCTGGGAGAAGAATATGTCCTTGTGTACCGAGACGAGCAGTTTGATCCAGATTACCAGCATCCATCTTTTAAGGACCGGTTGGATCTGCAGGACAGACAGATGAAGGATGGAGACGTGTCTTTGATTCTGAAGGATGTGACGATTAATGACACTGGAACATACGAATGTCGTGTCTTCAGTGGAGAGACAAGATCATGGGAGAGCATCAACACCGTCAGCCTGACTATTTTAAATGATAACCCCATCAGCATCATCTACCTGAGTGTTGTTGTTCCTCCAGGTGAGTGAGTAGAGTTGAGTGTGTGTGTGATCAGAGGTGAAGCTGCTTCCTGGTTGTTGATGTTTGTTTCTAAAGA